CCTTTCACTGTTGCAATCGATAGGGTGACCTTACTTAAAAGTTTCCTGACCTTTGTTGTTGTCGGTATTGTTCTGTTAAAATTTAATTAAACTCTTTTTCTTTAGTCTGGAAATAGCACTGTACAGTAAGCAAACATGATAGCAGTTTGGTGTTTTCCCCCATCTAATCTAGAGGCGCGAGGTAAAAGCATCCATCATCAGGGTTGGCTTAAAACCAGAAGATGTCAAGAAGTGTACAACGCGCAGCGGCCCAGACCTTCTGCTGAAGCAGACCTGTTGAGTTGTGCTGTTTTCATACTTCAGATCCGAGCTAAGCCCACTGGCACCTGCAGAGGGTCTGGTTGGTTTCCCAGCACTTTCTCGTGAAGATATGTATCTGCTCAGTGAGGTAAATAACCAGAAGGGCCTTGTTCTGATGCTCTCGCTCCAGTGCTGAAGAGCGCCCTACTCAATATTTTAGCCATAGGATCGAGTGGTCTTCCTTGATTCACAGCATCACTGGGATGTTGGTATCTCTTCGGCAATACAAAGTTACATTTCCAGGATAGACACCTTTCACTAAGGCCTTGCATGTATTCCACATAATCCCAGAAAACCAAATAGATCAAAATCCACAAGAAAAAAAAAGTGAACTGTTTTCAAACAGCGACTGCCAAAACAGAAGGAGACTGATTTTTCTCGTGACAGTGGGTGTTGAGAAGAGTCAGCCACGTGCTTTAGGGTTACAGCTGGATTATCTATCACAGGATCTTTGTGAGCCTGGTTTGAATCATATTCTAACCCTGTAACGCAAGTACTTTTGCAAAAGTAAACTCACATTATTATCTCTTTTGTTGCTATTAATATGTCTTTGCATTCTGGCTGTACGCGGGTATTACATCGCATTAGTGATACAGATGTGTACATCTGCACTCACACCCATACATTTGCACAGGATTATGGCTAAAATTCCTGATCCTACTTATAAAAAGCCCTATAAATCCTGGCTAGCTCCCTTTAAAATCAGCAGCACTATCCTACTGTAAATCCGGGGTGTAAATCAGAGCAGGCTCTGGCTCAGACTCTCTTACACACCGTAATGGAGCGTGGAGGCTAAAAGCAAACCCAGGGCTCCGTACACATCAGTTCCCCCCAAAACCCAGTCCTGTTGCATCATGCCCTGCTTAGCCCCACACCCCATCTCAGGGGCTGAGCCCCACTTCTCAAAGCACCAGCCCAACTCTTCTCACCGAGAAGCTCTCTGTAACAGATTAAGAGCTGGCTTTGGCAGCGCTGCCACCGCCACGTGCTTAAATATTGCTCACAGCTGAGTTATTTCTTGCTTCTTAGGAACTTTAAATGGCTTTTATGCTCAGTCAGCTCATCAAAGACTAGTATCTAAAGTCAGCAGCATTGAAACCATGAATTAGCCAAAGGAGAAACAGGCCAGTTAGGCACTTCTTACGATACGCTCTCTAGATGGCTGCCAGAGGAGCTGATTTAAAGGCACTGTGCTACACCTGAATGTCGTTTATGGCTCATAAAAGGAAATCTGTGTTTAAGTAACAATAAAGTAGGACTGCACTTTCTATATTAAAAAAAAAAAAAAAAAAAAAATCTGTTCTCAGGGAGCAGATGGGTTTTTATTTGCTCAGTACCTGCCTCCGAGGCACACGAAATCTGACAGTGCCGGGATGCTTTCAGCTACAAAGCCTAAGACCTAAGCAGGAGGACTTGCTCCAACATGGACTATACATGATTTTTACTTATTTTTCCACCGAAGCCTTCATGTAGTGAATGTGACCTCCTTGCAAAGGGAGAACCCAAATGCCCATGTACACTTGTGGCTGTCAGAGGAATGAGGGAGGTCCCCGGGCATGGGCTGCCAGCCCACGGGTCCTGCCCAAAGCCACAGCCCTGCAGCGGGAAGCAGCAGAGACCCTCTGTAACACCCCAGCTCCAGGGTCGGGACATTCGGCCAAACAAGGTGACAATAGCCACCATATCAGTCTCTGTAAGTCACAGTCACATCTACCTGAGGATGTGTATTTTCACTCACCTGTTATCTGCTGATAGATTCCTTCTTATCAGACTCCAAGGGTGCCAAAACCCACCTTTGTGGTCTCAGTGCAAATACCAGCTGAGGTACCGTGTCACACACAGCAACGAGGAAAGCCTCCTAGAACATATATGTGTGCTTTTTATTATTATACCTCTGCCAAAGTTTGATTTTTGAGAATTTTCTGCACGAAAACAAGTCCTAATGAGAAATCTGCAGCAACAACAGACGAACTCTGTCCTTCTGTCCCTCTGCACTCTTTTGCCCTCCACTGATTTCCCATCACCTGCCCGTTACCACCCTTCTCCCAGAGCCACGGCCACCTCAGGGCTGCCCACCTCCATGCGAGTAGTGCCGATTCCTGCAGAGGACAGAGTCCCCGTGTTGCTGGGAAGAGGGGATGCTGCCTCCCAGCTCCACCTGCCCTTTCCGGGGCCAAGGAGACAAGCTGGGCGCTCAGCCCCAGGTCTTCCCATCCGAGGAGCTGGAAAGGACCTGCGCATGCAATGCTACAGCCTATGACAGCGAGGGTCATGGTCTCGACCTTTACCTGCTCTCTCAGTCTGACCCACTTTTGAAAGAGGCATCGTCCCACCATGATTCACTTCGCCAGGGCTGAGGCCTGGAGACTTTATCAGTCCAGTCTAGGCAGCGGGTCTGCAGGACCTCCCCGACACTCAGCACCACCTGAGATATCTCCAGCGCTGACGCTGCACCGCGAGTACCAAACCGCAGAGAAAAAAAAGTGGTGAGCTTCTGTCAAGTCAAACCTCCAAAGCAGCTACAGCATGGCACAAAAACATCACGCTGCCCAAGACAGGACCTGAGCTGGAATAGCTACGCTGCTGCAAACTTAGAAGTAGCCTGCAGGCACACCCCAGCACACAGAAGCGGGATGCCAGAGTCGTACGCAGCACCTCCGGGGAGGATGCAGCTACACACATGGATGCTGGAGCATGGGAAGCAATGTCCAGCTAAATCGGGAACATGAATTTCTCAGTATTAACACTCCACCTCCAATTTTAACTGTCGGTATGAGGGAGCACTTCCCTTGCAGTTCAGCAGTACCTTAAGAATGGCTCATGGGAATCTCCAGCCATTTCTTGTACAAAGCATCTGCACAAAAGGCTGCGCTTGTGAAGCAATGTTGTGACAGTTGTGCTAGCGGCCCTTCTCTGCAACTGGCTCCTCCATTTGGGGATGGACCAGAGCTTTTTTAGAAACACCAAGTACGAGGTGCAGCATTGGCAAACATCTATTTTCATAGGATCATCTTGGAGAAGGCAGGAATGTAACATGTAGAACGAAACAAAATACAGTCAGTTACAAAATTGTTTGGGTGTTAGGACAATGGCACGCTTTGATTAACAGGAATTTAAGCGTAGCCTTCAGAGCAAAGCAGTTCTCCCTTCACTGAGGTTGCAAAACACACAAACCAGCAACAGCAAGTCAGTGATGGCTGTGAGACATCATCGATTTAACATTAGTTACCTTGCCCCGAGATGAAGACGACCACGACTCAAGGGCTTCGCTGGCTTAAAGATCTACTTCATACATCCCGCAGCGGCTGAATCCTGCCCCACACTTTGACAATACAGCATTGCAAATGCAATGCAAACCATAACAAAGAAAAGAAAAGATAAAAAGGGATTTAATGCTGTCAGGACTGCTAACCCCGAATCCCATCACAAGAAAAAATCGCAGAGGACTGAACCTAGATTAGTCCAAATACCCGCTCCATCTGCTTGCTTTCGTGTTTTCCTTCCACGTGTTTATTCCCAAGCTACAGACAGGGTCTTTGATCATTCCAAGCGTCTTCCACCTTGTAAATCCATCAGCTTTAGCTTCCCGAACAGCACAGCCTTCCGCAGACCTGCTCCTCCCACCCCCTTCCCTCTCGCCACGCGCCGTGCTGTCTCACATTCCTACATTCAGTGGTTTCTGCCCACCGCCAGCAAACACCAGGAAAACACAGACGGACCTGTTTGCTCCTGCACCGAACAAAGGAGAGAAGGTGGCTCTGGGATTTCTTCTTTCTGGCTTTTTTGTCTAAGGAGGAGGATGGCAAGTCAAAACACCGGCACACATAGGTGTTGTTTTTTTTTTTTCCAAGATCTTTATTTTACAAAAATAACTTACAAATAGAGACAACTCTCAGAAGCAAGATCATTCATTCTGTGCATAAGGATACAGCTTTGTGAAGTATGGGCGTAGGAGTTCACAACTCTTACAATACTGTTAATTTTAACATGACGGTAACTATATTACAGTACATATATTTCATGCTCCAGACATGTGGGCATGACCACCACATAAAGCTACAGTCGAGAAAGTGTGCCAGCCATGGAGGATGCTCCTAAGAGATCATTTCCTTACCGCTAATTATCGGCATCCTCTTATCTACGATAGTTTGAACCAACTAGTGATCTATCTCAGACTACAGCACTCCAGATACACTCATCAGCAATATATTTCAAATACGTGATAAAAATATATTTAACTTTCAAATATAATTGTATAAGGTACACCAAAAGCCAGAAAATAAAGTCTCGAGCTTTTAAATACAACACACTATATATATAACATATACAAGGAGACGAGAGGGAACCTACACAGGGAAGAAGAAGCTTGTCCTGGAAACGCATGTTATCTACAGTACACGATGGCTTTGTCTGCTAGAAAGTCATTTCCATTTGCATAGCATTGTCGAGAAGTCCAGACTGGGGTAGGAGGAGATCAAACAAAACACACCACCAAAAGGCTTAATTTTGGTACCACTTCCCTTTTGCACCTGATTCTACTCTTAAATTACAGTTTGCTATTTCTCTTTTGTAGGCTGGAATTCATGCCCCGTTCATAACAAGCACAGGGAAAGGGGGAGGTAAAAAAAAAAAAAAACACCACCATAACAACAACAAAAAGAATCTCAAAGAGTCAAGGAGGTTCCTTTATGGGGTTGCAGTCATTTGGCATTTTGCTCCAGAGCAGAGTATTCTGCTTCTGACACTCTGGAAGCATCGATAAGTTTAGTGAGACCAGTTTTGGCAGAGTACTTGAAGATAAAGGCTTTCATGAGCTCATATCTGTAGTTGCGGTTAATGAAGCTGTACAGGATGGGGTTGACGCAGCAATGGACTAGAGAGAAACACTGAGTGATGTGAAGAGTGGCGTACAAGAAGTTCTCCATCTGACAACTGAAAGGTATGAAATGAAGGCTGTAGAAGATGTCAAGCAGGACAGCTACATGGTAGGGCAGCCAGCAGACCAGAAACACGACAACGTAGGAGAAAATGATCTTCCCGTTGCTCTTCCTCTCTTGGTCACTGGAGGCAGAGATGGTCTTCGCAAGGAGGAAATAAAAGAGAGCAATGATGGGAAAAGGGATAAGAAAGCCCAGCACAACGGAGATGAGCTCCATGCCAATCAACCACTCTTTGAAGCTCTCCTCTGGATAGACAGGACGGCAATAGGTTTCATTGTTGGAAGAGACAGTCTTGAGATAATAGGTGTCTGGGAGAGACGCAGAGAAGGCAAGGAGCCACACTAAGATGCAGATGCAGCGACGGATTATCTTCTTCTTGCGATTGCTGGAATTGGTGAAATAGGCAACTGAGAGGTAGCGGTCCACACTCATGCACGCCAGGAAGAAGATGCTGCTGTACAAGTTGATGGAAAATATAAGGTGAGTTATCTTGCACGTGACTTCTCCCATGTGCCACTGGTTATGTTGGACAAGAGAGACGACCCACACTGGAAGGGTGATGACGACACACAGATCGGCAATAGCCAAATTAAAGATGTAGAGGTGGGTTTCATAGCCAGTCATTTTGGCTTGGAGGTTGACCCACACCACAACCGAGTTGGCCACCAGCCCTATGACAAAGATGAAAATGTAGAAGAAGGACAGGGTGTATAGCAGGGCGCTTTTGTTGAGCGTGCCAGGGCATGTTGTCGCGTCAACCGTGATGCAGTCACCGTTGCTGCACGTCCAGTTGATCTCCGTCAAGTTGGCTGTTTCTAGAAAATCGAGGATGGAAGCCAAATCAAGTGCACTCATGGTCGCTTGGTTTGGAGTTCAAGTGACCTACAGGCAAAAATAGGATCAAAAGAAATGACTGAAGTTAACAGAGATATTTCTGCCACCATCTTTGTACCACAAAGCACATGTAGGACACACTGTTTTAGTAATGTCCTACTCTTGTAAGGCACTTTCCATTAAGGAGATCTGAGGGGTAAAAGAACTAAACCAGACACATAGCAAAACTCATCTGGTCGACAAGAGAAACAGCACTAGGTTTTTATGCAATTCCCTTTTTTGCTTGCAGCTCACATGTGACATCATCAGGTTGGCTATCGTCCCTGGGTGTGAAATCCACAAAGTACACCGTGGCCAAACAAATGTCAGTCGACTAAATCTGTCTTCTCCAGCATAAATGATGATACTATTGCTTTCAGCAGGGGAATCTTTAAGCCATTTTATCTGCACTCCCTCAAGCGTAGTAGAATTGATCTGGCTGATACACGGTACCATAAAACATTTACCACAAGCTCTGGTCAGCATCTTGTCAAGCCCAGCTCCAGCTGCACTAAGCAGAAATGGGGAACTAAGGGGCTTTGTACCCTTGTCCAATTTTAAATTTAAATCCTGCTCTGTCCTCCCCCATTCCTTCAATCCTATTCTACAAAGCATCCCCTGTGTTTAATGATTATCACATAGTTTTGAGAAAAGAAAAAAAAAGTCAGAGCTTGACCACTGAGTAGATCTGCTGTGCGTAAGTTTTCTTTTTAGGAGAGCGCTTTGATTAACAAAACACTCCCCCATCACAGCTGGCTCCCCAACAACGGCTTCCTCCCCACCCTTTTGCTCTTCTACATCTACTTTTCTTGCCTCTTGAGCGCCTTCTTCCATCGGCAGGCAGCAGACAAAGCGAGGGGCTCCTCATTAACTTCCTTGCCAGCAGAAGGAAGGGCCCCAGCAGACCCACACGGCTTACGCACAATCCAAAGCCAGGCTGCTAATTACTGCTGTGCTTTTGGGGCACTGTAAAAATGCTGCCTCCCCCACTGGGACCCCCCGCTGGGACTCTCCCACCCCGCAGGGCCAACACTACCACCCACGGCAGCAGCCGGCCGCCTTGGCCCGTGACTGCCATGCTTCAGCCAGGCAAGTTTTGGAGCCCTGTATCTGCAAGCTCCAGCTTGGAGGCACCAGATTGAAGATGGGGTCTGTCCCACGGAAGCCCACCTCTCCATCTCATTCCCCTGCTGCTTCACTTGAGCTGGAGCACCAGGTCAGCCAGCCCACCCCTGGTCCCCACCGTGGACACTTCTAGCATCCTGAACGGTGGCCACCTTCTTCTTCCTCACATCGCCAGCCCCTGCAGTGAGTGGTACCCCCTGATGCCACCCCAGCCCCAGAGGCAATGCCAGCATGAGCGAGTGGCTGCAGAGAGCAATGGGGGCACATGACTCACACGGCCACCTGTATCTCTGCCGCATCTCTGAACGTCCTCAACCCCACCATAGGCGGTGCTTATGGGAGCGTGGAGGGGATGGCGAGCAGCGAAGAGCTCGGACATGCTCCTGCGCTGAGCATCCTCTCCTCACTGCTGCCCCTTGAAAAGGGATGTCAGTTGACAAAGCACCTCTTGCTCCTCCATCTGCATAATCACCTCTTCCCAAACCTCCCACCCTCCTAGGGACACAGACTACGGAAGAGAAGGGAGATAAGGGGGAAGATTACCAGAGAGGACTCAAGGCACTATTGTCCTGGCTGAAGGGATGCCGGTGGCACTAACAATGAGGGAGGCCATGCACACATCCAGGGGCAATGAGATCTTCCACAAACAGGGCCCACATCAGCCCCGCAAGGAATGCTAACCTGTTGCTTCAAACCTAGGCAGCCTTCCAGGCTTTCAGCCTGCTGAAAGACCGGGTTGAGATTCAAACAAAATTAAGCACAGATTTTGCTAAAACGCTGGCTAAAGAGGGAGCTGAAACAGTGGCAGCTTTCTGTCTTTGGTTAGG